GGGAGCTGTATCTTCGGGAACCTCTTCCTCCTCGGGGACTCCTTCCTTATCTCCTCCACCCTCAAAACCACTAACAGCATCTTCATCATCAGAAGAAACAAGAAATCTCGCATCAGTTTCCAGCGCCTTTGCTTGGGCTATTTCTTCAGTGAGGTCGAACCCGCGGGCGTGGATTTCTTCGAGAGTCTCCCTCCGGGCTTGGCACTTGGCCAAATCATTACTCCATTTTTCCCGGTCGGAGGCCTCCCTTAGCTCCGCTTGAACAGCCTCGGCATCCCTTAAATATACGATGATGGCTTTATCAGTCGTGGCCTTCGTCTTCTCAACTTCAGCCTTGGCCTCTGCCACCTCGGCCCTAGCTTTAGCAAGTTTTGCCTCTAGCTCCTCGATTTTCTTGGCCCGGCCAGATTCTTCACTTTAATACCTCGGAGCTGAGTCTCAACCGAGGCCAGTTGGGCTATAGCAGCTTCTTTATCAACAGCGAGCCGATCCATGTTCTCTTTCAATCGGTGACAATCAGCCTTAACCTGATCGACCTCGCCAAGAGCTGCCCAATCATCTCCAACTTTTGCTGCAGCTGAGACATCGAAGTGTTAGCCTCCGTAGTAAGGCCAAGAAGACCATACTCTGTTAAAATCACGGTTGCCTATTTGTCTAGCTCGATCTCGTCTTTCCGAGCTTCGGCCAAGTCAACCCAAAGGCCCTTGAGCTCCTCCTCCTTTTGGCTACAAAGGAGCCTCAGGGCCTTCTCTTCATCCGAAGCCTTCCTGAGCTCGGCCTCATATTGGCTCAGCTCGGCTCTAAACTTGATGATGGCCTACATATAAAACGAAGACATGTCAGTCAAAAGAAGGGGAGAAAAAAGAAAATTACAACAATAAAGTTAGTGTTTACCCAAGAAATGAGACTATGAGCCTCTCCGAAAAGGGTGGATGTGTTATTAAGGTCGACGGCATCGTCAACCCCGGTGAGACAATCTCGAAATGGATCCTCTTTGAGAACCTTGCTCGGGTCGGGCATTCGTAGAGCCTGAGCATCCTGTATCTCCTCCTCAGAGTAAGATGGTAAATAAGGGTAATGACCTATTGTAACGGCCCTGAGCTCCTCACTCGGGGCACTCTAATTAGCTTCGGCCCTCTCAGCACTTGCCCCTCCGGCGTACTTGTTGAAGGAAGGGGAATGATCTCGATCTCGGGGGACTCGAGGGCTTTTCCCGAGTCTTTCTTCGGAGTTCCTTCATCATGAGGTGAGGTCTCAGGTTCAGAGGGCTTGGCGGCCTTGACCGATTTCCTAGTTCGGGGCACCAGTGCCGATTCTTCGCCCTCGTTCCCTTCATCTTCGTAAAATTGGATGGTTGAATCCAAGTCCACATGGATAAGCTTCCTCCTTGTCTTTCGAGTAGGGGCCCTCTCATCCTGGGGATCTTCGGGCTTCAAGCCCTCTTTCTTTTGTTGTCTTTCCCCGATTTCGATATCGGGGACTCGGTCTCTTCCCCGGGCGGGGCTGGCCTCATTTCGGAGACATCTCCGATTCCTGCACAAATAAGCACGAGTGTGATGGCATTACCAATAAAAGAAAAGTATCACAAAACCTGGGAAGAGAACTGACCATGATGTTTGGCCTCCCATTTGCCCCTCGATAATTCACGCCATTTGCGCTCATCATACGAGGAGGTTGCAGCCAATTTTTGGACCCAGTCCTCGAGGTGGGAGACCGCGTGGGCGTTCAAGCAACATTTGCAAAAAAGGTAAAAGCATTACGAAACTCGAAAGCAGGATACGGGAGGGTATTTGGAAAAGGACTTCACTTACGATTAAAGTTCCATCTCTCCGGGAATGGCATTTTTCCCTTAGGTATGATGTCCGAGGTCCTCACTCTGATGAACCGGCTCATCCAGCCTCGATCTTTATCCTCATCGTTACAAGCAAAGAAGGACTTTTTTGATCGATGTTGAATCTTGATGAGCCCTCGGAACAGCTGAGGCCGGTACAGCCGAATGAGATGGTTGAGGGTAAACTTTAAACCCTCGGCCTTGCTGGAGAAATAACGCAACATAATCACGATGCGCCAAAAGGAGGGATGGATCTGGCCAAGGGTAACCTCGTACCTTTAGCAGAAATCGTTCACTACCGAATCGAGGGGACCCAGTGTGAAGGGGTAAGTGTAAACTCTTAAGAACCTCTCCACGTGAGTAGTGATGCTTTCCTCGGGGTCGGGGATCTGTACCACGACCTCGCTCCCCAGCCGCAATCCTTCTTCATGGTCTTAAGGTGCTTCTCCGATATTGAACTGATATATCAAGATGCATGCTCGCATCGGCCTGGGATATTGGGGGATGTTCAATATTGAAATCCTTCTTTATCACACAGGGGCCGGGAGTGATTTCGTGAAGGGCTGGCGCCACCAGTTTGGCCGGCCGGGAAGAAGAAGAAGATGGTGCCTTCTCTTTTTGGGGGCTGTTTTAGAAGTTTTGCCCATGGTTTTATAAGCTAAGAGATGCAGAAGGTAGCGGAGCGTGGTGTTTTCTGGGAGTTTAGCATTTTTCGGCACTTAAAGGGGCGGTGGAAGCAGATTATGAGAGAAAGAGAAGAAGAGGAAATGAGATCAGAGTGAATGTAATGAAGAAGTAAAGTTTTTAATTCAAAGAAGGAGCCCCATATTTATAGATGAGCGGCGACGGTTCGGCGGCACTAGTGGTCGACTATTACTGACATGTATTTAATGTTTTGGGGAAGCGAACCATCGGGACGTTTCGGTCATTTCAAGCGCCTACGTCACGGAAATGACGTCATCATTAAATACTCCGGAAAATCGAGGTTCAAATTGTTTCTTATCATTTTACTCTAAGAAACGCAGGGACTATCTGTATACGGTCAAAATCATATGCCTCCGATTCTGTGGGCTCGAGGGCTCACATCGAGGAACAGAGGGCTCGAACCAAGGGGTAAGCTCAGTATGGGTTCGAGTTCGAGGGCGGAATGTAAGGATCGAAGATCGGAGTGTGCGACAAGTACCGAAGCCAAGTATGACCAACCCCAAGATAGAGCCGTTGAGAGTTTGCAACATAATGAGCAAGCTTCCTGCCACGTCTCCATTATCATGGCGTAAATTCCGAAATAGATTTGTACAAATTAGTACAAATCCGTACCAGGTTATACAGCTGTCCCAATAGGGTTCCTTACTATAAATAGAAATGTACCTTATTTAGGGTTCCCCTATTACACAAAGGGGACCCCAATCATTTGTAAACATCATCTCATTATTGGCAAAGAATATACTCTCTTACTTTTTCGCTCATTGTTCATCAGAATTGTCCTTTAGCTTTATTATTCTTGCTTTGTTGTTCTTCATTCATACATTATACTTCTTGATTATTAATTAGTATTGAACTAAATCATGTATCTTTAAAACCACAAATCAAATTTAATTGTTACTCGTATTTTTGAGGTAAACATCTATCATTCATGTACCACCCTTGCATTTGTTGCTTTATACCATGTAATTTTCTCCAATACCAACTGCTATCTTGTGTTGGTTGGTGTGTCCAGAAATCACCACCTGCATTCGTGTAAATGCCATGTATCCACTTCACAGTAGTATTTCCTTCTTGTTAATCAATAACCATATTAATTTTCCAAACATATTAATATTATTTATAGTATTTAATATGTATATTATTTTTTAACAACATTTAAATAGGAGGGAATGCTAAAGGACTTATGTTATATAGTTTCTTCTCTATACTATTAACGTTAACTAATGTTATACAGTTTTTCGTTATAAAATTTCATGTTTTTCATCTTTTATTTTCTTTTTTGACCTTTGTGTGTGTCTTTGGCAGAAATTTTACACGCCTCAAAGTGTATAAATACAAAGCAACTTGGCATATTGAATATTAGAGAAGTAAAGAACTTTAAAATATTGAAGATCTATTAACGTTAACTAATGTTATACAGTTTTTCGTTATAAAATTTCATGTTTTTCATCTTTTATTTTCTTTTTTGACCTTTGTGTGTGTCTTTGGCAGAAATTTTACACGCCTCAAAGTGTATAAATACAAAGCAACTAGGCATATTGAATATTAGAGAAGTAAAGAACTTTAAAATATTGAAGATTTTTATTCTTTTATAATCGCGCGTGTCTCTAGAAAATTAACTAGTTTATAAAATAAATAAGAGATAGATAATCTCGTCGGTAAATAATAGTGTGGGAAGTAGGATAAAGGTAATATCTTTCAATTGTCATCCTCTATTTTGGAACTTCAGACCCAATCAACCGCATGGTACGAGGTACAATATGACATCCGTGTCTTATCTAACATGTGATAATTTAATGGATAAGATAAAATATTAAGCCCTGCATCTCTTATCTTTACAAATAAGTCTTAAGTTATTACCGGTCGTTTAGCTCAGCGATTGTACTTATGATAATGTGATTGTAGATGGTGAAATTAATAGCTGTCTTAAGATATTTTAACCTTGTCCGTAATGTGATTGTATTTTGTCAGCAGTGGCGTACGCATGTTTTTCATAAGCGGTGTCACTATTTCTAGTTAGAGGCCCGTAACAGTAAAAAATATTTTGTAGAGCCAAGGAAGTTCGAACCCAAGACCATATTTTGTCAATTGTAAGGGATATGCAACGAATAGAACGACAGGACTATATCTGGCATAAAATGAAAGGTAGCTCAACCGAAGAAATGGTGTGCATAAGCATTTCAAAGAATGAAACTTGTCAACTAAATTTGCAATTGATCTTAAGCTAATTAATACTATTTTTAACAAGTACGTAAGCAAATTGATCTTGACGTGAAATAAACTTGTATTCTTAAGAAATCTTGTGTCCTAACAGTTACTCACAAAAAGGTTGATGTTATGGACAGTTTAGCTCTTCCAAGTTCATAGATCATACTATACATGTATATTTCAAATGATAACCCCCCTCCCTCCCTATACAAGTCAGGCAACTCGAGGTTTAACAAGTTCGTGCACATTTTGATGTTTTCATGAATTACGAAAAGTCAAGTAGGTAAATATCATCATGCTTGCTTTGGCTGCCCTGATCATGATATCCAACCCTGCAAAGCAACACATTCTGGACAAGTAATAAGGACCAAAGCAGGTCCAGTTTAAATATTGCATGCTTTACTGTGGCATGTCCAAGTTCACCTATATTTTTCTCTTTTCCCTTTTGTCTACTTTCATTGCTTGCAGGAAACAGAGAGTAGACGAAAAACCAATTTGGGAGTCCATGTCCAAATATACAACAGATAATCAATCAGCAGCTCTATGTTAATAACATCACAAATAAGTTAGCTGCTTTAAGAGAAAAAAGAATCACACCAATACCCTTTTAGCAGCAATCCATTCTCCATCTAGCCAATGTTGATGGGGCCTCAAATCGGAATGCTGAATTTCCAACATCTCATTTGACATTTTAAAGTAGACTGTATAGTTTGAACCATCAAGAACTTTGCAAACTTGACCAGCCCACCATCCACCATTATACCAAGCATCAACTTCATCAAGTGGCCTGAATATGTCAGCATGTTGGGTCACTGGGGGAGGTCTTATACAAAGAGCATCTGCTTCTTCAGTCAGGAGATCCGTATCATCAGTTTCTAGAGTCTGGTATCGCAGCAGATACTTCCCATTTCCTAGATGTCTCACAATTGTAGCAGGGTACCATGAACCCTGGTAACCTTTTTCATCCCTCTTCACCTCCACCTTTGCTCCAACGCTAAATTTTGTGCGCCTGGCTACTCCACCATTCTGTCCTCTTAGTTTTCCAAGTCCGGGCTTCGCTTGAACTTTGGGTTTTTTCTGCATGTCACGTGAATCATATAGGAATGAGGAAGAAAATAATCTCAACTTTATACAGCTGAAGCTCTTGAAGAATAAATGAATAGCAATTGTAAAAAATTTAATGTTGTCATACCCTGAAGGCAATGACCCATTTTCCATCAATCCACTCTTGATGGGGTCTCAAAGTGAAATGGTCAAACACCAGTTCCTCATTTGTGGTCCAAAAATACACCATGTACTTTAAGCCATCAAGGATTTTGCATATAATACCAACCCACCATCCGTCATTAAACCATGAGTCAACTTCTTCAAGCATTTTAAATCTGTCAATTCTATCAATTACAGGGGGGCAGGGCCTAATGTCAGAAGCATCTGCCATTTCTTTAAGGGGCTCAGATTCATCTTCAGTTCTTAGTGTCAGGTACTCCACCAAAAACTTATGCTGACCAATGGACTCGATAATAACTGCAGTGTACCAGGAACCCTTGTATCCTTCTTCATCACTTTTCACCTCTACCCTCATCCCTTTGCTGAACTTGCATGTCTTTCCACTACACTTTATCTTGATTTTCAGATCCTTTGACTTCAAATTCATGTCAGATGAACTTCTTGTCATATCAAACTTGAGCCAACAGAGAAAAAGAGAAAAAGAAGATTGTTAAATATCCTTGAGGAAAAGCCAACAAGAACAAGAGAGAAGAGGAACATACCTCTCTGGCAGTAACCCATTTCTCTTTGATCCATTCTTGATGAGGTCTCAGCATAGAATGTTCAAACACCAATACTTCCTCTGTGCTCAACAAACACACTTCATACATCAAACCACCAAGAACTTCTCTTATATGACCTTCCCACCATCCATCAATGAACCAAGCATCTACCTTATCAAGAGGTTCAAAAAGATGAAACGAATGGATTTCAGGTGGACACGGTCTGATGCATGAAGCATCAACCTCTTCTTTGAGAAATTGAGACCCGTTCACTGCTTTCAGTGTCTGATATTCGACCAAAAACTTGTCATAGCCAACAGATTTGACAATAACTGCATTATGCCATGAACCACGCAAACCTTCTTTATCACCTTTGACCTCTACAGACATCCCATCGCTAAATGTTTCCATCCAAGATCTGCTACACTTTATCCTGAGTTTGACCCCTCTTGACTTTAGGTCTAAATCTGGTGTGTTCTGCATCATAATAATTTTTTGTTTTTGATAAATTTCTGCATCGCAATAATTTGAACTACGTAATATACATGAATAGAGATTAACTTTAGACCATGATACGTCTAAAAGAACCACATGACAACTACTATAAAGACTGTTTGTACAGTGTTTCATAGTATGACAAAAATGAAGGAATCCACATTAAGTGGAAACGTATGCCCTATCAAGTGAATATTTAGCTAAGTGCCCTATTGAATATAACGCACGGTCTGTTATAATTCCCAGTATAATTATGATCAAATTCCATATAAGCATAATCGAAGGAAAACATTCCCAACTACACTTTTTTTTTGCTTATTTATAAAAAAGGTGTAATAGGACTAAGGAAGAAGACATCAGATATAAGAAGAGTGTAATGAAAGAAATTTACAGGAAGATATGCCAACTCAAAATACCTTGGCAGACAAATCTTGAAAGAAAAATAGAGTGTTCAATGCCAAAGATTCATAAACATATGTAAATATGTAAATACAAATAACAGAAGAGGAAGATTTGTTTCATCTCATTTCAGCTACACATCCCTTCATATGCTACTCATAATATTGAATGATTTTTTTTATAAAATAAAATAAACTCTCAACCTCCACAGTCCAGCCTCTTGAGTACCAACAGCAAAATTAATACTCATGGAATAAAACAGCCCAAGAAGTGATGAAAAGGAAAGAAGATTACTTTTCTACCAGCCATTCATCTGGAATAAACAAGTTGGTTATAACTTAGACAATTTACCGTACAACTTTGGGAGAGAAAGCAGGGTATGGGAGAAAAAAAGGTAAGCAATCAGCTAAAACATAAAGTAGTCAATTACTATATTAATCTCAACATATATAGGAGTAACAAACACCCGACGAGGTCTATATAGTACTCTCACTCTCTCCGCCCCAATTTGAGCAACTTGGTATTTACTATTAAAACTAAAATATTAGATAATAAAAAACCTGGGGCAATTTTTGGAGGTGAAGAGGAGGAGGAACCCAAGAGCCATCATCCCAGTCTCGATAAAACCGCAAACCCCAAAGTTCCACTTTAACCACAACTTCTACAAGTGAAACCAAATATATAGAATTCTCCAAGATATCATTCACCTTCCCTTTTCTCCACCCTTTCCCTTCATAAAGGACCTCCACATTGTCACCAACCTTGAAGTACCTGTGAAGCTCCGTTGGAGGCGTAGGCCGTACATCACAAGCATTAGCGTACTCTCTCCTCCGGCGTCCAGAAGGTTCCTCGTTAAGGGTCTGAAACTCAACGTAAATTTGACCATTTCTGGTTGGGGTTGATCGGAGTAAGGTGGCGGGGTACCAGATGGTAAAAGGCTGTGTTTTTAGGACTTCTACAGCGTCTCCTTTGTTGAAGCATTGTGGGGTTGTACTTGTATGGAGTAGCATGTCATAAACCCTAACTATAAGAGTGGAAATTGTAGGAGGGAGAAGAAGGAGTAGTAGGATTGTCTAAGCAAGAAAGCTGTGTTGGCGTTTTAGTATGTACACATATTTCAGGAGAGATTTTATGTATTCTTTTCCCCTTTTTCTTGTTGATTCTTTTCTATTCTCAAGCAATCAAAAGATGTTGACTATGCTATGAGCTCAGAAACAGTATTTATAGCTGTGTACCACCCTTTTTTTTAAGAAAAATGCACTCCCTCTCTTCTAGTTTAAGATTACACACTTTTTTATTAATCCATTCCCCCCAAAAAAAAAAGGACACATTTCTACGTTGGAAATAATTCAACTTTAAACCATGCATTTTACTCATTTTATCCTTAATGAGAAACTTTTATCACCACATAAATGTCACGGCCCCACAAAGTTTTTACACCTTAAACTTTTAAGACCGCAAGTTTTAAAACCCTTCTTTTTTTCTTAAACTCTGTGACGAGTCAAACTATCTCATCTAAATTGAAACGGAGGCAATATACTTTATTTTGAAGAGTTATAATGATAAAAAATTTGAAAACAAATACTAAACTATTTTGAATAGTAGGAAACAGAATAGAAAATTAATTTCCAAGATGAAAATATTATATTTACCATGATAGTATTCCTTATTTCAACCCATATGTCTCCCACCACTCTCCTTTGTTGCCTCATCTCTCATTTATTTTTAACTAGTCTTAGAATACGCAACGTGCATTGTACATGTATTCCATATCAATGTGTATAATTTTGTAAATTAATATATAAATGTTATATTAAAATGTGTTTGTGTTATAAATTAACAATCACTGTAACGACCCGACTGATCGTTTCGAGTTTTAGCATTTCGTTCGACGGTTTGTGATTTTAAGTAGATTCATATGATGCATTATGACTTGTATATGTGGTTGGTTCTGATGTTCGAGAGGTTCAGGATTGATTTGGTGGAGTGATTCTCATCTTGGAAGCTTTAAGTTGGAAGAGTTGATCAAGGTTTGACTTTTGAGTAAACAACCTTGGAATCGGGATTTGATGATTTCAGTAGGTTCATATGATAATTTTGGACTTGGATGTATGTTTGGATTTGATTTTGGATATTCCTAGTGGATTTTGAATATATTCGTCTAATGCTGGCAATTTGAAGAAATGGAGAGTTCATAGGTTTGACTGGAGGTTGACTTTTATCTTATCGGATTTCGTTTGGTGTTCCTGAACCTTGGATAGGTTCGCTTTGTTTATTGGAACTTGTGTGCAAAGTTCGGTTGTGATCTGAAATATTTAAGTGTGATTCTTACGTGCTCGACAAAGATGAAATATTTTAAGGTTAAGATGATAAATTGATCTTCGATTCTTTGTTTTGAGGTTATTTGTGGTGTTTTGAGCCTTTACATAAGTTTGAATTAGGTATATGGACTTGTTGGTAGCATTGGACGGGGTCCCTAGGGGCTCGGGTGAGTTTCAAGGAGGCTCCGGACCATTTCTAGGCCCTTTTCAGCTACTATTTTTCACTACAGTAGTATACATCGCGATCATGGTGCTCTAGGCAGCGTTAGTGAAGAGTAAAGTGTAGTTTTGGTCTTCTGAAACGCGTTTGCAAAGAGGTTGTCGCGATTACTCAGAAGAAATTTTGCTAGCAATGGGCTGATTTCGGGAGCTTATATATTGCAATCTATAAGAAATTTGGAGATAATCCACAAATAAAAGTTGCAGTCCTTTGTTTCTAAATTTTAGAAAATCAAAACGTTTGTCATTTGAAGTGGAGTATAGATAGTTATGGCTATTATACTATAGGCTATTAGAAAAGAGTTCAACAAGCTTATTCAGGTTTGTTCATCGCGATCGCGAAGGGTAGAATCATGCCGGACAATTTTGTGAATCACGATCGCGAGGTTGGTGACCGCGTTCGTGAAGAAGCATGCCTGACAGGGTATTTAATGCCTAATTTCGGTATTTTGAGCTTATTTTATAAATTTTTGAGGGTTGGAAAGCGGACCAAAGCAATTTTAGAGATAGTTTTCACTCATATTTTAAGGGTAAGCAATTTCTACTTGATTTGATCATACATCATGAATCCCCATGGATTTCTAGATGGAATTTTGAAGGAAAATTTGGGATTTTTGTCTACACTTTAAGAGAGTGTATTTTGAAAATTTGAATACCGATTTGGAATCGATTTTGGAATATAATCACATATTTAAATTCGACAGGTTATGGGCTATCGGGATTTGGTAATGGTTCCGAATTTCGAGCATGCGGGGTTGGGTTCATTTTTGTTGTCTTTTTGGGAATTCTTCAAAGATGGAAGCCTTGCTGATTGGGGCTGATTCCAATGGCATTGGTTTACTACCTTGGATGATGTTTGGTTTGATTCGTGCTAGTTGGACGTGATTTCTCCAAGAAGCAATTTTGGAGCTTTGGACTAGTCCGGATGAGGTAAGTGTCTTGTCTAGCTTTAGTTGAGAAATTTTTCCTAATAATCAATATTGTTTGCTATATGCGGGGGTTATGTATATATGAGATGACGACCATATGTACATATGCCATGAGTATTTATGCGGCGTAGATTCTAGACTATTTTATGCCTTGTTTGATTGTGTGATCTATTTGTTCTATGTTTTGCTCAATTGATTGACTACATGAGCACATTAAACCATGCTAGAGTTAATTGAGGCTAATGGTACCTTATTTTGCGGACGATGAACTATTCATAAGATTGTTGTTATACTTGCTTTGGACGTAGTCACACATATGTTATGAATACACAACTGTACATGTTATTCTTGTCTTATGCCTTAAATTGATGCATGACTACTCGAGTTTTCTTACCCACGTTAAATATTGTGAAATGACTTTTGCTGCTTATTTGGGCATGATAATTATTTGGATGACGTATTACATGTTGGAACCGTGGTCATACTGTCACGACCCAAAACTACCACCCGATCGTGATGGCGCATAGCTCACTTTCTAGGCAAGCCAAGCCTGACAATAATAAAAACATGATAACAAATTGCGAAAATAATACAAGTCTAAAAACCAGATATCATAAACAATGCAAAATCATTTTATAACTCCCAAAAACTAATAATACTGAGTCATGAGCTCTATAATATGGATACAAGTCTGAAATACGGAAATACTATCTGAATAATAACAATAAACAATAAACATAGAGAGAGAGAGAGAGAGAGACGTTGAGGACTACAATCAGGAAGTAGCTCCAGCTTGGTCTTCAAGACTTAGCAACGGCTACGCTCACAAAGCTCGACTGGGCCTAATACCTAAATTTTCACAATTAAGTGTAGATTTTATTATGAGTACAACCGACCCCATATACTCTGTAAGTATCATATCTAACCTCAGCGAGGTAGTAGTGGCAAGAATAACTAGTGATATTGTAACGACCCGACCGATCGTCTTGAGCTTTAGCGTTCCATTCGATGGTTTGAGACTTTGAGTAGCTTTATATTATGTATTATAACTTACTTGTATGGTTGGTTTCGGTTTTTGAGCAGTTTGGGATTGATTTGGAAGAATGCTTCTCGTTTTAGAAGCTTTAAGTTGGAAGAGTTGACCAAGGTTTGCCTTTTGGGTAAAGAGAATCGAAATCGGAATCGGAATTTAGTTATTCTAATAAGTTTGTATGATGATTTTGGACATGTCCACAAAGTTTGGTTAAATTTCGATGACTTCTGGATAAGTTTGGGTTGTATGGTGATTGTTTTCGGTTTTGACGTCGATTTGAGCATAAAGGTTATCATATAAAGAAAAAGCCTTTTGATTCGTGTTTCGACTAAACCATTATATCCGTATCACAATTTTAGAACCATAGTAACTAAACTCATCAAGTTTCGACATCATATAAGGAATTTATGGTTATTTTACTATGAATTGGGTTGCTAGATTTTTCAGAGTAATTACGGAGTTACCACTAAATTTGTATTTAAAACTCTGCTCTATTTTCAAATATTGAAACCAATATATATCCTTCATTATAAGGTCAAATGGAGTGATTCAAAAGCCTAACTTGACTAGTGTCAAAATCCCTATATCTACAGCTGTGGCAATAGGGGCGTGATTTGGTAATATGCCAATTTGACCGCTATTAGTAGATAAAACAATTTCTTCCACTTCTGAATCCCAAACAATTCGATTAGGGGTCAGTACACTAAGATTTAAGGTCATTTCTTCAAATTGCTCTCCATTTCTAAGTTCATAGCCTTCGCGGTAGCTTCATCGATCCGAGATCTACATCTATGAATTGAAAGGTCCGAATGATCAACTCTGCAATCAGTTGTTAGAATCAATAGGTCTCCATTAGAGGCATCAAAAACGAGTTTTTGGATCGTTTGGCACAAGAAAAAAGACAGAATAGCTGGGCGTGTTTGGCTATTAATGTTGCTGGAGTTTTTCTCATCTTGAATGTTTGGGATTGGGAGAATTCAAGGATGTTCTTCAAGTTTCTTCCATGGGGTAAGGTCTAAACCATAACCTAAGTATTTACCTTTGATTCATTCCCTTGGTTTAAGCTTTAATTCATGATTTTAATTGAAAACTCATTTAATTCTTTAAATCAAGACCTAGGGTTATGTCCTAAATTTTAAAAATTGAAAATGAGTTTGAGGCGTTTATGTCGCGATCCAAAATCCGACTAGTCGTGATGTCACCTAACCCAACCCGCTAGGTAAGCCAATTAGCAACTATCCAATTCCAATGAAATTAATAAAATAATTAAATAGAAGAAATTATCTGAAACTTATACATTCCCCAATGTCTGGTAATACAACTCATGAGCTTCTAAGAATAGAATTTACAAACCTGGTATGGAATAAATACATCATCTGTTCGAAAAGTACATAAGCAGAGTTTTATGAATCTAAGGCTACCATGAACAAGATGTAGCTACAACCGGAATGCAGGCACGTCTTCAAATGCAGCTCCCGTCGAACACAGCAACATAAGCAGTCAACATCTGCACGCAAGGTGCAGAAGTGTAATATGAGTACAACTGACCCCATGTACTCAATAAGTGACAAACTTAACTTAGGTTGAAAGTAGTGACGAGCTGGAACAAAGGTCCGGTCCACCACCAATAGCCAACAATAATTCATAATAACGTAAAGCAAGTAATAAAAGAAGTAACTTGGAATT